ATTAACTGTGAAGCTGATGTGGGGTTTAACAGATGCAAAATACTGTACTGAGATGTGGCTTAACAGTCCCTCGGTTCTGGTGGCACTCTTGACACGGTGCAACTTGTCCAAAGCTGCATGGGTGGGGTGGGGGCATATAACGTCTTTAGTCACACAAAAAGCTTAGTGGGGATCTAAACTCCCAACTCCTAATACTGCAACCGGGCACTCCAACCCATTAAGCTATACTAACTCACTGCAGGTTAGCTTGGTCTTTTTATAGTCTTCTAATGGAACGGAGAAAAATGCTGAGCAAGCCTGGATAGCTCACTGGGTACAGAGTCAAGGGTTAGGAGACTGCCCGTTGTTCTCCACAGGGAAAGCCAGTCTGTGTTGCCTTCAGCAGGCTAAGAGCACCCTAGAAAAAGGCACTGGTAAACGTCTGAGTATGTCATACCTAGAAAGCCCCGAGAAGAATGGCCGTAAGTTGGAATCTACAGTATTTGATGGCTCACACTTGCTGATGTCGTGCAGTGGATAGAGAGATGGGCAAGGACTCAGGAGTCATGACTTAATCTCTGCTCAACTGTGGAAGCCTGCAGGGGTAATTCACATACAGTGGTGCCTCGACTTGCGAATGTCCTGACTTATGACCGTTTCAAGTTATGACCAGCTCCAGCTGCAAAATTTTGCTTCGACTTGCAGCCGGAGCTTTCCGTTGCGACCAGAAAAAGGTAGGGGGAAAGGGCGGGGAATTCAAATTTGCTAACCGTTGGCGGTGCAGAGGCTGCTTCTTTGTAGCTCTTCCCCACAACCGTTAGAGTGAGTGCGATAGGAGGAGGCTTCGGACTGCCTGGTAAAGTAAGGTGCTGCTTTCTGCTTTTTAAAAACTGTTCTGGGTGGGTTTTGCAGGGTGGGTTTGGGCTGGGGGGGATTATGTTTCTGTGCTGAGTTGTTTTGTTTTTTGGTGATTTTTTTTTGCAACCCCAGCGCATTCCCTTTTTTTTTTTTTTTTTTTTTGCAACCCCCAGTGCATTCCTTTGGGGCTTTTTGTTTATTAGGGGGGAGTTTTCTTCTGGAACAGATTAATCGTGTTCCAATGCGTTTCAATGGGAAATGGTGCTTCAACTTACGGCCATTTTGAATTACGTCCATCTTCTGGAAAGGATTACTGTCGTAAATCGAGGCACCACTGTACCTTGAAAAAAAATATTGTTGTCATAGGTCAGATGCAACTTGCTGATATATAACAAATGAATAGAACTGAGGCAGAGCCCCACTGATCTCTTAGCCCAGGGCTAAGGAACCCACAACTCTTCAAATCTTGCAGGTGACATTGGACTACAATTCCCTTCAGGTCCAGCCAGCATATCTTACGGCTGAAGAGGACAGGAGCCGCAGTTTGCCAACCTATGGAGAGCCACAAGCTTCCCAGTCATGCCTTAATTCTTATTGTCCCTTGAGTCCTACCTATGAGGGGATAAGGGGTGGGAAGAGAAAAGTATATGAAAGCATCACTTGCAAAAATGTCATAGTGGTTGCAAGTTTTTATCAGAATTAAACTGGCAATCTCAACTCGGTTTTACTTCACTGTTGATTCACTATTCAGCACTATTGGTTCAATAAGTCTACTCTAGTTCGGAGAGTATCAATTACATTTAAGAGATAAACTCCACTTGAGCTTTCTGTTGACCTCTAGGGCTATGTCAACTTTAAGCACATACACCTTCATGAAGAGGCCAGACCCCTGGCTGGTGTCTGCTTGATAACTACGAGGAGTCTCTGCTCCTGCACCAAGAACACAACATCACAGATGAGTTACTAGAGGAGTCTTAAACAAAGGATTCTCCTTGATACACTCCATAAAGCTGTACTTTCATTCTTCATATGTCACTAATCCACACCTTCTACTAAGGAAGTTAAGGTGACATACATTGTTCTTTCTCACACCTTTTGGCATTGTTATAGATTGCATTGTGTGATAAAGCACTGTGCTTCATAGTGCTGAATCTCTAGGCCTGATCTAAGATGCAGATTCCTACTGGCAGGAGCTGAAGCAAGTTTCTGTTGTTTTCCCTTCAGTGGTACATAAAATCCAGTATTTGGCTTTTCTTTCTTCCTTTAACTTTTGGGATCATATCCTACCAACGTGCTAAGGATTCACTTACAGTAGTTTTAGATTCCTCTGCCAATCTGAGATCTGTGGAATTAACTGACATATGTGAGCCACATATAGGTACATCTGTTTTCCATCTGTGATGGAGCCTCAATATCAGAAAAAGCTTGAGTATCCATCCTTTAGTGGAAATACACTTCACATGTGAGAAAGGCATTTTTTTAAGTTAAGTTTTTAATGGATGAAGGTTTAACTTTCTATGAAGAAAAATCTGTATCCTTAAATTGTTTGCAAGGCATATTTTCCAGTAAGCAAACCTAAATTCTAAAATTACATAAAACAGAGAAATGTTAAGGTGATTATCATCTGGCCTAGCGAAGAAGAATAAAACAGTGGGATTTCTGTGCATGCAGCTAACATTTCTGAAGCAGCTGCACTGTTTGGCAATGTCTGTGTCATGTGGCAGTTTGTGCACATGGAAGAGTCATGGAAAAGCAGTTTACTGAGGAGCACAACTGTTTTAGTTGGACATGCAGAAATCCTCAACAAGATTCCAGCCAGTAAGGTCAATATGTTTCTGTAGCACTGGTTGCCTGTATCCATCTGAATACAAGGGACTTATACAGTGGTGCCTCGCTTAACGATTGCCTCGCTTAATGAGGAAATCGCTTGACAATTAGGTTTTTGCGATCGCAAAAGCTATCGCAAAGCAATGGTTTAAATGGGGAAAATCCGCTTCACCATGATCGGTTCCCTGACTCGGGAACCGATTTTCGCATTATGATAATCTAAAAACAGCTGATTGTCAGGTTTCAGAATGGCTGCCAGGTGTACAAAATGGCCTCCCGCTGTTTTCTAGGACGGATTCCTTGCTTTACAGGCAGCGAAAATGGCCACCCCTATGGAGGATCTTCGCTGGACGGTGAGTTTTCAGCCCATTGTAACGTTTCAATGGGCTTTTTTATTTCGCTTAACGAGGATTTCGTTCTAAAGTGATTTCACTGGAACGGATTATCCTAGTTAAGCGAGGCACCACTGTATATGAACATAGGTGCCACTGAGATAACTCTAAGGGGGTTGTTGATTCGCACTGGAATTGAGCTGTGGCCCTGCGCAACTAACATTGTCTGGTTCAACTCAGGAAAATATTTGAGGCATCTTTTGTTATTGAAACATGCTCTTTAGATAATCTAAAATGGGGTGGGCATCTAAAATAGGATGGGTGTTGCTGAACATAAAAAGAGATGAACTAAAATTTGCATAGT